CCTTGTATAGTCCCTTGAACCCTACACCCTAAACCCTAAACCCTAAACCCTAGACCCTCAAGAACCAGCAAGTTTTAAGTTCGTGGAGCTGTTTGGGGTTTCAGGCTTGGGGAATGAAGTTTCGGATTTGGGAGTTCGGGGTGCTGGTTTAGGGTTTCGGGTTTCGGGTTTAGGGTTTAGGGTTTAGGGTTTAGGGTGCTTCGGCTGGGAGATTTAGGATCCACTACTTAGGGCTTCTTCGCTCTCAGGGCTGAGGGGGTTTAGGGGTTAGGACTCGAAAGCTTTGAAGGGCTTCGTGTTTAGACCCCTCAGCCTCGTCCCTAAAGCCTAAATCCCCAACTGCAGGGGAACCCAAAGCCCCATTGTTTTTTTTTCAGGAATACCTCCCCAAAACAGACTTAAAGAAAAACAAAACCCTGCACCCTGAACCCTAACTAAACCCTGCGCCCTGAACCCTAAACCCCGAGACCGCAAACCCAAACTCCCTACACCCTACCCCTAAACCCTAAACCCTAAACCCTAAACCCTAAACTGTTGAACTGTAGTACCTGTACATGTTTGGCCATAGCATATCTTGTTGTTCTCCTGACGCTCGTAGGCCCAAAGCACAGTCAGCCTTGAGCATGTCTTTTAAGTATGTATAGTTCTACTGTAGGTGCTGTAGCCTTACCAACCAAGTAGTACAGGATCTTTTGCTGCGTATAAAACCTCCGCATAGTGTGAGCCATGGTTGGGGTAGAGACTGGGGAATCTAAGAAGCCACTGGTTTCTGCTGCTCAGCCTGCTGGTTCACACCAGCAGGTTATGAGCCCAACGCTTGGGCAGGGCAACATCACCACCGGAGTGACTTCATCAGTCTCAGCGGGGGGCGTTGAGACTGATGGGCCACAAACTACGTTTGGGATTGGTGCCCCTTCTGAAGCTGGATCATTTGGGTCAGTTTTGGACGGTGGGGACGCAATCCGACATTCACTGGCTGCGGGAAGGGCGCGTGGGGATGCAGAGCACAACGCCCATTCGCCGAACAAGCAAGGTGGGGAACAGGATCCACCTGTTGCTGAACAGACAACCCCGGGCGGAAGCCTAGGACCCCGAGGCCTAGGCACACCGGATGGGAAGTCGTTTTTTCCAGAGTTTGGGAGTGGATGGCCCAGACTGTCAGAGACATGGAGGAGTTTTGCAAGAGTGTTGACGGCAAGGCATGATGATGAGGCACCGAGTGTCAGTACAAATCTGCTTTCGCCAAGGTTTGGCATGGAAGCGAACCATGCGTGCAGTGACCAAGGGTTGTCCAGAGGAGTGTGGCCTTTGGTTGGTACGGGGGTTAGTCCTAGTGAGGGTTGCCCGCTTCAAGATAGTTTAGGAGGGGTGCAAGCCGAAGTGCCGATTGCATCGCTTCCCGGGAGGGATGGCCTTCCAGAGCATGCCACTGTTGTGGCACCGAGTCGTGCCGACTCACCAGCCGTGTGTGCAGATGTGTGCAGTGCAACGCCGGCCGGAAGGCCTGGTGCCCTGCAAGGTGCCCAGGTCCAAGGTCCCAATCCAGCAGCCGTGCTGGCAGGACTCCCAGGTGCACAGGTCCAAGGTCCCAATCCAGCAGCCATGCTGGCAGGACTCCCAGGTGCACAGGTGCAAGGTGCCCAGGTCCAAGGTCCCAATCCAGCAGCCATGCTGGCAGGACTCCCAGGTGCACAGGCGCAAGGTGCCCAGGTCCAAGGTCCCAATCCAGCCGCCGAGCTGGCAGGACTCTTCGGTGCCACTCAATCTGTGCCAAGCGTGCCCGTTGGTGCAACCAACGGTTTGCAGGAACCGCAGGTTCCATCTTTTACAGGCTCAATGCCACTTCCACCGCAGGCCCAAACCCCTAATCCTTGCTTAAGGGGTTCGGCTGAGTCAGACTTGTTGTCAGGTTTGGTGACTGGTATGAATGTTCAGACTACGTCTTCCGGTGTTGAGGGGGTTTGGACTCCGCAGTCGGTGAAGGGGGCGGGGGTGCAGCAGCCATGTTCACAGCACGTGCCGCCTGCGCCCGCAAGGGTCGCGCGTGCGTTAGGTTCACACGCGCAGCTCATTCCAGGAGGAGCGGTCGCAGGCCACGCAGGTTCTCAGGTTGCTCCATCAGGGTTTTCAGTGCAGCAGCCGTTGCTAGAAGCACTCACTGTAGGAGTGTTGCAGCTGCAGGGCCTCCAGGCCCAGCTCACCATGGATAACGTCGACAACGAGGTTGTGAAACCTGGTCCCCCAGTTCTTCCCTCGCTGGGGCCTCCAGAGCCGGCAAACGGGTCGCTCATTTTCCAGGATTGGTTGGAGCTCATACACAACCCAATGCGTGACCTTTCCAATTCCTCCCATGTTTGGTGGGCACATGTGTCGCAGGTAAGCAGGGAGGCGTATACCAGGTGGTGTGTTGCAAGTCCGCTGGACAGACTCAGCATTGAGCCTCAGGAACAGGGTTCGGCTTCAGGAAGGTGGGTCAGGATCAACTCGCGCGCGTGTGGCATGATACTTGAAGCTTTAGACCCCTCAGTAAAAGCCCGCATTCTTGCCCACCGCGCCACGGGAGTGGCTGCCTGCCTGCTGTTTCGCCTTTTTACCATGTATCAGCCTGGAGGTGGCGCCGAGAGGTGGCTGGTGCTAAGAAGCCTTCAAAGTCCTTGCTTGATTCAAGACGTACACTCAGGCGTCATGGCCTTGAGGGATTGGGGTAGGTGGCGTCGGAGATGCGTCGAGTGCGGCATGATGGTCCCGGATCCCATGGTTTTAGCCAGAGCTCTTACGGAAATGACCCGTGGAGTGTTGGAGGGGCATTCTGATGCAGCGTTTCGTATGCAACGCACGCGTGCCGTGTTGCGCATCGACCAACGTCCCTCGGGAGAGGAGGTCCTCACTTATCATCGTCATTTGCTGGCAGAGTTTGAAACTTTGGCACTGGCACAGCCAGAGATTTCAGGTGGCAAGGTAGCTGAGATTTCCAACTCAGGTGAGCAGGCCAATAAAAGTCATAGCGTCAAAGCCGCGTTTGCCTACCAGGAAATTGTGCAAATTCTTCGTGTTGTCGCGTGGTTGCCGGAAGGGTTCACACTGTGCGTATGCTCATAATCTGAGTGTGTTTTCCGCTCAGGACAAGGCCAACAGGTGTTGGAAATGCGGTTCCAAAGAACATCACCGCAAGGACTGTCGGGCAGGAAGGGTGAACGAAGCAAGCCCCCAACTCCAGCCTCAGGTTCAGGACGAGCTGGCAGCGCAGGATGCAATCAACTCCACGCAGGCCACAGGTCCAGGAGGAGACACGCGCAGGAGCGAAGCCGCTCCCCAGACCCCAGTTTTCGAGCCGAGAATGGGGGTCTGGGAAGAGGTCCAGAAGGGCCATCGTCAGGATGCTGGCCAGGTGTTGCCCAAGCTTTTTGGGGAGTTGGTGAAGGCCTGCTGTGATGCTAGCAGACGGCAGGAATCGCCTCAGACTCCAAACCCCATTCCTTCATGTTCATGCTCAGGCACTGGCATTGGTAGACTCAGGCGCCATGCATCCCCTGAGACAGGCTGGCGCTCAGGAGGAATGGGATACTGCGGTTGAGGTGGACGTGAGCTTGGGTGGCAACGTGCATGCGCTCGCGCGTCTCACGTGCAATGGCACTCTGCTCACACCACCCGGAAGGGAAGGAACCCAAACAATCATACCCATGGGTGCAGTGATCAGTCGCTTGTTAGTTGGGTGAGCGATGCCGATTGTGCATTTCACCACCCTGACGGGCAGGTCATTCCGCTTGTGATTCGCCGCGGCTGCCCCTACATGTGTGAACACGTCGCGCTTGAGTTGATTGCCCAGTTGGAGGCCGATGCGCGGCATGAGCGCGCCAACGCTGACGGAACCTCACAGGCGGGCCTGCGCGGGAGCAGCAGCGAAGCAACGTCCAGGTTGCCCCGAAATGTGGAGCCAATGAGCCGCAAGCTCAACCTGCACCCGCGAAATCAACCAAGGTGTAACGCATCAGAGAGCGGCAAACCACATGCGACCAGTGCTTTTGTAGCCGCTTCAAGGTTGAGGCTGGGCTCGGGAAAGGGTTGTGGCAACATTCGTGCGACCAACAGCCCACATGATAGCCAGTCCACGCCAGTGTGTTTCAAGCTGAACGCGCAAGACAGCGATGACGATGGCGATGCAGACCCCAATCGAGGTGACAGCACGCCTTGCGCGTACGACTGTTCCAGCATGCCCGCGTTGTCCAGCCGTCAACTTCTGGACCGACCACGGTTTGTTCACAGACGTGCCCGATTGACTAGACCTTGTGATGTCAACCCCGTGTGTCGCAAATCGTTGTTGCCAGCCTCGGACTTGGACGCTGTGTCCGAATCTGAGCAGAATTTGGCATTTTGTCTTGCATGAGTTTGCCAGGTTTGTTGCTTGTTGAGCTTATGTGCAGTTCGTTGAGCCCAGCAAGACAACTCCGCCCTGACGGGCAGGACTTGCCAAACTAAGTCCCTGCCAGTTTGCTTTCTTCTGCAAGAGGTGCCTTGAGAGCCCACTCTGAGGCCAGCCGGCCAGCTGTAGTCCTTCCTTTTGGGGGAGTCTGTACCTCCTCCCGGAAGGGATGGACATGTACAGGTTTCTGTTTGTCGCTTCCTCCTGGCGAAGGAGCGAAGGAGGAGTGTTGAACTGTAGTACCTGTACATGTTTGGTCATGGCATATCTTGTTGTTCTCCTGACGCTCGTAGGCCCAAAGCACAGTCAGCCTTGAGCATGTCTTTTAAGTATGTATAGTTCTACTGTAGGTGCTGTAGCCTTACCAACCAAGTAGTACAGGATCTTTTGCTGTGTGTAAAACCTCCGCATTGTGTGAGCCATGGTTGGGGTAGAGACTGGGGAATCTAAGAAGCCACTGGTTTCTGCTGCTCAGCCTGCTGGTTCACACCAGCACTAAACCCTAAACCCTAAACCCTAAACCCTAAACCCTAACCCTAAACCCTAAGCCCTAAACCCCTACACGGCTCACGGGAGGGACCTTGCTCTTGAGCGCGGGGCTGCCGTCTAGCTCCTCGTCCAGGAGCTCCTGGAAAGGGAGCCCCCTAAACCCTAAACCCTAAACCCTAAACCCTAAACCCTAAACCCCAAACCCCAAACCCCAAACCCTAAACCCTAAACCCTTCTCCCTAAACCGACCGACGCCCCTGCAAATGCGGCCGAAGCTTCCCAACGTTGATCCCCTAACAGCCCCGAGCTCCCCCAGCCACCCAGGGTTTAGGGTTTAGGGTTCAGAGTTCAGGGTTTAGGGTTTAGGGTGTAGGGTTTAGGGTTTAGGGTGTAGGGTGTAGGGTGTAGGGTTTCGGGTTTAGGGTGTAGGGTTGACGGCCTAGGGTCCGCGAGCGTAACTGATGCCCTAGTGAACTCCGCGGCGTCTCTCCAAGGCTACGCCTTGTAAACCCTAAACCCTTGACCCTAAACCAGCGTTTTTTTTTTTTTTTAAGGTGTGGCTCGGACGCTTTTTTTTTTAAGGTGTGGCTCAGCTTGGCTTCGCAAATACTGTAAATAGCAGCATTTCTGCGTTTAGAGAGGCTGCAAATACTGTAAATAGCAGCATTTCTGCGTTGTCAGAGGCTTCAAATACTTCAAATGGCAGCATTTCTGCGTTGTCAGAGGCCCCCCTAAACCTTAAACCCTAAACCCTAAATCCTGAACCCTGAACCCTAAACCAATCAGGGCTTGGGCTGAAGGATCTACTTAAGCACATCGAGCCGAAGAGCCGCGAAACCCTAAAATCCCTCAACCCTGAACAACTCAAACTCTTAAGAAGGACAACCTGAATCCCTGAATCCTAAACCCCCTAAATCCTTCAACCCAAAGCCCCAAAACCCGCAACCCGAAACCACAAAGCGCCCTTCCTAAGACCCAAGGAAAACCGCCATAGACCCCTAGAGGGGGGGGGGGGGGGGCCAAAGGAACCTCAACAAACTGTAGAGAGCTTAGGGAGTAGTGGGGAGTATTTGGGAAAGCTTGCGTCACCTACCCCCCCCCCTTGAACCCTAAACCCTAAACCCTAAACCCTAAACCCTCCCCTTTAAGGACCCTTCAAAGAGGATGAGCCCACGTCTCCAGCATGGGCGGGACCAGCTCCCTGGCCATCTCGGCGGTGTCGTCGGCCACCAGGGCCGCCAGCTCCAGCGCCTCTTGTGGGGGGGGGGGGGGGGGGGCAGGGTAGGGTTTGGGGTTTAGGGCTTTGTGGGGGCGGGGGCGGGGGGGAGGGTTTTGGAGGGTTTAGAGCTTAGAGGGTTTAGAGGGCTTTCGAAGGTTCTTTGGAGTGTTTAGCGGGTTCAGACGGTGTAGAAGGTGTAGAGGGTTTCGGGGGTTTAGGGGTGTAGGAGGTTCGGTTTGAAGGGCCATTCTGCTTTTTCATGGGTTCTAGGGTTGAGGTTTTGCTTGGGAGCGTTAAGGCCATGGCGTTACAGGCTCTCCGGGGTATGTAAAGGGTGTGTAGGGGTTGTGGCGGGGAATAAGATTACAGTAAGGGTCCCTTCTAGGGGTCCCTCCTACCCCTTGATTGAAGGGATGTGGGCTTGAATTTGAGGGTTCAGGGCTGCTCTGGACCGTTACTGGCTACTGGTGGTTGCGGGTTTAGGGCTTTTGAGGGGCTCTAGTCATTTTGAAAGCGCCTCAGGATTCCAGCTTTGCAGGCTTCGGGGCACGCAGGGTTTAAGGGCTGTAGACTTTTCGGGTTTGGAGGTATAGGGTTTTCGGGCTTCCCCAACCCCCCCCCCCCCAAAAAAAAAATAAAAAAACTAAAAAAACTAAATCAAAAAAAAAAACCACAAGCACCGAAAACCAAAACCCCAAGCCCCAAACCCCAAACCCTGAACCCCTAAACCCCAAACCCCCAGGAGCTCAAACCCTTAACCCCAACCCCTAACCCGTAAACCCTAAACCCTAGACCCTAAACCCTAAACCCTAAACCCTAGACCCTAAACCCTAAACCCTAAACCCTAAACCCCAAACCTAGCCTCTAGACCTCTAAGACCCCAAACCCCCCAGGATCCTCGCCTCCTTCAAATCACGCAGCTGCTGGCCTCGGTAGCCCAGCAACCATGCCATGATGAGGGTGGCCCCTTTTTTGGGGTTTAGGGTTTAGGGTTTAGGGTTTAGGGTTTAGGGTTTAGGGTTTAGGGTTTAGGGTTTAGGGTTTAGGGTTTAGGGTTTAGGGTTTAGGGTTTAGGGTTTAGGGTTTAGGGTTTGGGGCTGATGGTTGAGGGTTTAGGGTTTAGGGCCTTTAGGGCTTAGGGCTACTTCATAATCAGGGCACCTAGAACCGGACCAAAAAAATGTGCAAGGGGGGGGGGGGGGGGGGGGGGGGGGGGGAAGGCCAACCAAGTGGCGGTTCTGGTTGCTGGCCTCCCTCGCCTCGCCCCGCAGCGTGCAGATGGGGCACCTTCGGGTTGCTAGAGTTCAGGGTTCAGGGTTTAGGGTTTAGGGTTTAGGGTTTAGGGTTTAGGGTTTAGGGTTTAGGGTTTAGGGTTTAGGGTTTAAAGGTTTAGGCTTTGCAAGGGTTAAAAGCGTTTGTGTATGGGGGTTTAGAGGGTTTGTAGGGGTTTTAAGCGTTTGTTGGTTTGTAGGGGTTATAGGGCTTTTGGGTTTATAGGGTTTTGGGGTGTAGAGGGTTTATAGGGTTCAGAAGGGTTGATAGGATTTTAGGGTTTCTAAGGTTTATAGGGTTTAGGGTTTGGGGTTTAGCCTTTGCGGCTTGGAGGTTTAGAGGGGTTTGAGGGTTTAAGGTGTTGGTGGGGGGGGGTTAGGTTTTTGCGAGTTTCGGGTGTTGAGGGGGGGGGGGGGGTAGGGTTAGGATTGGGGGCCGATCCGTCACGTAAGCCTCAAACCCCCCCCAAGCCCCAAGCCTTAAACGTCACTCGCCAAAACTTGAACCCCAAAACCCTAAACCCTCGACCCACAACCCAAAACCCAGAACCCGAACCCCAAAACACTAAACCGGGATTTAGGAGTATGGGCTGAGAGGGCTCGAAGGCTCTCGGCTAACGGCAGCGAACTAGCGTTTTGGGTTTGGGGTTCAGGGGCCCTAAACCCTAAACCCTAAACCCTAAACCCCAAACCCTAAACCCTAAACCTTAATTCAGGGGTTCCAGTCTAGAAGCCCGGCCTGCACTGGAACTTAAACAGCCTTTGCAAGGTCGACTGGCGCTCCACGTCGCTGTCGTATGGATCGACGTAGGAGAAGCACAGCTCCTCCCCCACGGAGATGTCGCGCAGGGCGTGCCACACAGCCATCCCTCTCCTATACTCCCCTTAGAACCTTAATAAGAATAATATCTTGAATATATCTTGAATATCCTCTTGGCTATTTTTGAACAAAATCAAAAAAAAACTCCCAAGGGGGATATAGTCTCCTCTGGCTCTTGTCCCAGCGCCCCTGAATGTTCGGCTTACAGCCTTGGCTGACTTCTGAACCCCTCCTAAAAACTTGACGTTTAGGCTCCTTCTTGTAGTTTCTTCAACAACCCAAAAGATTATTTTAAGAGCCAGCCAGAAGAAAGCCAAGGAGCTGTGGTTGAACCGCGCAGACGTCGTCAGAAGGCCCCCGCCCGTGCCCAGTTGCAACGCGTTGGTCAGGGCGATGCCCGCCGCCGTCTTCGTCTCGGCCGCGTGGCAGTCCGACAGCTCCCAGAAACGATCCTCTCGGGGGGGATGTGGGGGCCCGATACCACGATGAATTTCTATGGGTTATTCGGGAACTTCTATGGGTTATTCGGGCTTTATGGAGATTAGCACCCAAAATTCCCCCGCCCCCCCCCAAGTCCTGACTTGCCTTGGAGCAGTCTCGCAACGCAGCGTTCAAGTCCTCGTCGAGCTTCCGCAAGCTCGTCGCGTTCAGCAGCGCGTCCACGTCGGACTGGAAGGAGGTCGGCAACCCCAGAAGCCTACACTCCCCTTAGAACCTTCATAAAAAAAAAAAAATATTTCTAATATCCTCTTGGGTTTAAATATAGACAAAAAGAAAGAAAATAATTCCAAAAGGGGGATATAGAAGCGGGGACTCCCTCAAGATCGTCTCCCCCCGCGAGATGGGGGCAGTTGCCACCACGCCGCAGCCTTTGCCCTCCAACTCGACCACGGCGATGCTCCCGGGAAGTGCCGGGCTTCCGGGCTCCTCCGGAAGCGGCAGGAAAACCTCGCCCTGCGCTTCGCGCGCGTCGCCGGCCTTCCGCGCGGCGCGCCTCCCGCGCCTCCCGCGCCGGCCCTGGGCGCCGCATGCGCCGCGCGCCAGGGCGCAGGACGCGCAGGAGGCCCATCCCAGCCCATGCGCCGAACGAGGCGGAGCGCCCGCCTCTCTCCCGTGAGAAATCGTCTCAAGCCCCCCGCCGGCCACCCTCGCGTCCGCCGCGGGGCGCGCTGCGAGCAAGCTCCTCGCTTCGCAATGCCATGGCTGAGGCTTCATACTACTTCGGCGGCTAGGGGGATTTTCTAGCGGTTTGGGGCCATCAGGGTATCAGCCGGTTGAATTCTTGGGGTAACATGTATAAGGCCAGCTCGTGAGCTAGGGGGATCAGAAGTAGACGATGAGCTCAAGTTCGTGAGTTGTATGAACCTTCAAAGGTAGACCCTTAAACACTATGAACCTTAAACCCTAAACCCTAAACCGAGTGGGCTTTCCAAGCTCGGGTTTGCAGACTGATCTTTGGGGCTGAGGAAAAGCGGCCACAGGCAGAATCCACAAACTCGAATTAGGCAGGAAGCCTACCAGGGTTTAGGGTTTAGGGTTTTAGGTTTAGGGTTTAGGGTTTAGGGTTTAGGGGTTTAGGGGTTTAGGGTTTAGGGTTTAGGGTTTAGGGTTTAGGGTTTAGGGTTTAGGGTTTAGGGTTTAGGGTTTAGGGTTTAGGGTTTAGGGTTTAGGGTTTAGGGTTTAGGGCCAGGTAGCCGACAAGCGGGCATCTTTTTTACGGACCCCAGGCCTTCCATAAAGGGCATGAGGAACGTTCGCCCATCGCCAAACTTAAAATGCGGAAATCACATTCCTAGAGCCCTCAACCCCAAACCCTAAATCCTAACGGTAGCCTGTTAACTGGAAATCAATAAATGCAAGGGGTACTTTTAGAAAGGAACCCGAGAATGCCCCTAGAACCCAAAAAGAGCACAGGGTATCACTGACAAGGAGAATACCCCCCCCCCCCCCCCCGGCAGTTGAGACCAAAAACGCAAAAAGAGGGTTTAGCATTTGGGGTTTGAGGTCTGGCGGTTGGGGTTTAGGGTTTAGGGTTAGAGTTTAGGGTTTAGGGTTTAGGGCTTAGGGTTAGGGCTTAGGCTTAGGGTTTTTAGGGTTTAGGGTTAGGGTTCAGGGTTTCAGGGTTCAGGTTCAGGGTTCAGGGTTTAGGGTTTAGTTTAGGGTTTAGGGTTTAGGAGTTTTCAGGGTTCAGGGTTCAGGTTTAGGGTTGAGGGTTTAGAGGTTTAGGGTTTAGGGGTTAGGGTTTAGGGTTTAGGGTTTAGGGTTTAGGGTTTAGGGTTTAGGGTTTAGGGTTTAGGGTTTAGGGTTTAGGGTTTAGGGTTTAGGGTTTAGGGTTTAGGGTTTAGGCCACCGAACGTCTACTGTCGTCTTCAGGCTTGCACGAAGGGGAAGAGGCAGAAGAGGGGGCTCAGGCTGGCAGAAGTTGATTAGGTTTAGGATTCAGGGTTTGGGGTTTCGGGCTTCGGGTTGAGGGGTTAGGGTTTAGGGGATAGGGTTTAGGGTTTAGGGTAGTTTAGGGTTTAGGGTTCAGGGTGTTTGGCCTGGACGCTGCCATTTTCCATTTCGACTGGCTCGCTCGGGCATGGTTTCTCCGGCCAAACTGTCAATATGCGGCCACCTGAGATGACGGAACATGTCTTGCGCACGTCTGTACAAGGCACATGCGCAGATTGGCAGCAGCCCATGAGTAGAGAGGCACTCCGAACGGCAGGTTCCTAACTAGGGTCTCCTAGTGGGATACCTAGTGATGATACCTGCTTGCACCCTGAACCTTAAACTCGAACCCTGAACCCTACGTAAACCCAACCACGTAAACCCAACCTTCCGAGCCACGACGACTTCCCCCTATTGCAGGAACCCAGAATTGGAAAGAAATCCCCAAGGGCAGCAAGAGCACTACGAACAGCAAAGACATGCGAAGGCCAAGATAGCGCCAAACTCAAAAAATGACAGCAGAAACAGCCCACCACCTTATCGTAACATGCTTGCTTTGAGCGGTTAGGGTCGTTTACTGTCTAGAGTCTAGGGTGTCGGGTCGAAGAGTTCGGGTCCCAGCGACTACCGGACATGCTAGCAACAACAGAGCCGAGGGCCAGCCATCACGTTCGAGGAACTACTGAGGCTTTACCAGGGCTTCGCGGGCTGTGATGTGAATCTCACCCCTTTACTGAGCTCTTAGTGAGCTGCATGGTCGCTTAATATGGGCCCTTAAAACGGGACCCCTTAAATGCCCCTTACATACCCTCTACAACCCAAGGATCAGAACCCTTTACAGAAAGCAAGGGACGCTGTTTAGAGTCCATGAAACTATCCTCAGATGAGCCTCCGAAACCCTAAACCCTAGTGGAGATCAGGTTCCTTACTCAAGGGTTTAGGGTTTAGGGTTTAGGGTTGAGGGTTGAGGGTTTAGGGTTTAGGGTTTAGGGCTTAGGTAGCGGAGATCAAGTTTCCTACTCATGGACTGCGACATGCTGTCACTGCATCTGGCTACGGACAGTTTGAGCCTTTGCTGTACCGAGTCTGCGAAAGCAGGGTGGGAAAGAAAAAGCTTCGAGCTCCGGTTTTTGGGCTTTAGAGTTTCAGGGTTTTAAGGTGTTAGGGTTTAGGGTTTCGGGGTTTTGGGGTTTTGGGTTTAGGGCTTTAGGGTTTTACTGGTTTTGGGGTTTAGGGGCCAGGGGTTTTGGGGTTTTCTGGGTTTGGGTTATATATGGTTGTTTTTTCGTGGGATGGAAACGCATGCGACTGGGAAAGGCTTTCCGACACTGCCATCGCAAACTGCATTGGAACTAGAGGCTGAGCGCACTCCGCCACAAAACTCATCGAACTCAAAGCTTAAACCTTCAAACATCCATCACCTTCATGTACGTCAAAGCGCCGTCACTATCCACGTCGATGCGGACGGTGTCGCCGTCCGCGAACTCGCCCGCCAGGCCTCGCCAAACATCGCGTTTGGGCCCAACACCCTAAAACCCCAAAACCCCAAAACCCCAAAACCCCAAAACCCCAAAACCCCAAAACCCCAAAACCCCAAAACCCCCAAAAACCAAAGCCCCAAAACCCCAAAACCCCAAAACCCCAAAACCCCAAAAACCCCAAAACCCCAAAACCCCAAAAAACCCAACACCCGAGGGCGCCTCGCTGCGCGAGGGGCGTCTCCACATTCGCAACAATGGACCTCTTGATCGGCCTCCAGGAGGGCGACTGGTAGCCATGACTGACTATCACCTTCTTCTGGGCGCTTAGCGCCCTACTTAAACTTACCCGTAAGCCTCCACGCAGCTTCCACACTGGCACTGGACCCTAAACCCTAAACCCTGAACCCTAAAGCCTACACCCTGAACCCTGAACCCTTTAGGAGTGGGCTTAGGGATGAGATCCTGGGTGCGCGGATTTAGGAGGACATGCCTCTCCTGCGGAGCGCAGGACCGAGAGGTCTAGGGTTAAAGGGTTTAGGGTTCAGGGTTTAGAGTTCGAGCTCGACACTAGGGTTTGGGGTCTAGGGTTTAGGGTTTAGGTTTGGGTTTAGGGTTCAGGGTTTAGGGTGTAGGGTTTAGGGTTTAGGGTTCAGGGTTTAAGGCTTAGGGTTCAGGGTTTAGGGTTCTTCAACAGCCATAAGTTTGTGGTTTCAAGTCTAGAGGCTTAAGGGGTTTGGGAATTTTCGGGTGCCGGGTTTTAGAGTTCGAGGGGTTTGGGCTTTGGGGTTTGAGTGTTCGGGAACCCTAAGACCCCTAAAACGCAAACCCCCTAAATCAACGCCCCAGATACCCACGCCCCTGAGACCTGGGCGCCCACACCCTAAACTCCCTGCAGGTTCAGGGTTTAGGGTTTAGTGTTGAGGGTTTAGAGTTTATAGGGTTTAGGGTTTATAGGGTTTGGGGTTGAGGGTTCAGGGTTTATCGGGTTTAGTGTTGAGGGTTTAAGGTGGTCCCCTCAAACTTACACTCTTTCTCACGCGCGCTCCTGGCTCCGAAGGCGGGGTCGTAGCCGCGCTCGGCGATGACGTCCACGGCAGCATCTCGGGGGGGCTTATTGGGGACATTGGCATCCTAAATGCGAAGACCTAGGCCCTAAACCCTAAACCCGAAACCCTAAACCCGAAACCCTAAACCCGAAACCCTAAGTTGAGGATTTTGGGCTTTAAGGCTTGATGAAGTTGGGGGATTCCGGGGCTTTAGGGTTTAGGGGTTCGCCTTCAGGTTATCGGGCGTCAGGGCCTGAGGAATTTGAGGGAAACTCGTGATTTAAGTCAACTGTCGAACCCCAGACTGTAAGCCCTGAAATGCCCTGAACCCTAAACCCTAAACCATAGGCCGCTTCGAGATCTGCTTGCTTTGCCAAGCAGATCGAGCTTGCCACACCTGATGCATCCTTGCTAGCCATAGGGCACAATGTCATAATGGATTAACCCTAAACCCCCGACGCGCGACCCCGGCGGCCTAAGAAGCCCCTGCGCCCCCGCCAGGGTTGCCCCCGCCAGGGTTAAATTTGCCCTCGCCAGGGTTGCCTTTCAGGGTTGCCCCTGCCAGGGTTGCCCCCGCCAGGGCCTGCCAGATTGACAGGATTGCCCCCGCCAGATTGGGTTGCCCCCCGTCAGGGGGCCCTGCGAGTGGCAGGGCTGCCCTTGCCAGGGTTCTGGCGCGGGTCGGGACCGCGGCACTTTGGAACACCCTAAACCCTAAACCCTGAACCCTAGATAGCTGCAAAGGCCGAATCCGCGAAGCAAAGAGCCGGTGCAGTCGCTGAGGCTCCGGCCTGTGACCTCCAAGTTGATGGACCGGTCTGCCAGCCTTGTCGGGTTTAGGGATTAGGGATTAGGGATTAGGGATTAGGGATTAGGGATTTGGGTTTTGGGTTTTGGGTTTAGAGTTTAGGGTTTCGGGTCTAGGGTTTAGGGGTTGCGGTTTACGGGTGTAGCGTTTAGGATTTCGGGTTGGGGTTTAGGGAGTCGAGGCTTTGGGCAGGAGGGAGTTGGGGTTCAGATTTAGGAAAGGTTTCGGGCTTGGGCAGTTCGCCTCGGCTTTGAGGCGTCTAGAACAAGCAGACCCGGATCTCGTCCGTTGTGGGCCTGAAACACCCCCCCCCCCTTAAACTCCCTGGAACCTCCCTTGGGACCTCTCTGACACCCTTACCTCCGCAACACCGCCTCCCAGTACAACGGGCAAAGTGAACAGGGACATGAAAGGGCCCTCGTTGTACATAGAAGGAGGCCCCGTAACCGGAAAGCACAACTCTATACGTTTAGGGGTTAGGGCTGATGGGTATGCAAGACACTCCTGAATTCTGGGGTACTGGGCTCTCTGGGCAAGCTTCCCTGAATCCTAAACCCTAAACCCTAATGCCCATAAATATGTGCGTGGCCAGCCTCTCTTGGACGCGCTTGAGCTGCAGCTGCGCGATGGCGCGCAGGTCTTCACGGCCAAGAGGTTGGAAGATGATCTTCCTGAGAAGTCATGCCCTAAGCCGCTAAACCCAAAATAGCCCCTAAACCCCCAACACCCTCAACCCCGAAGCACCTAAACCCTGTCTAAACCGAATTTTATGTACACCCTGAACCAGGAAACCCCCGAATCCTAAACCCTAAACCCTAAACCCGGACCCAGCAGCTCGTCCACTCGGTTCAGCATCTCTGGCCGGAATGTGCGGGCCATTGCCGCACGCACCGCCTCCTGGCGCCACAAAGGCGAGGGGACGAGCTGCGGAATGGGTTTAGGGTTGAGGGTTTGGGGTTTAGGGTTTAGGGTTTGGGGTTTAGGGTTTGAGGTTTAGGAGTTGGGGTTAGGGTTTAGACTCGAGAGGCTTAGGATTTAAGCTTTGGGCCTAGGGTGCGAAAGCCTATTTTAAGGATAAGGGGGATTTGGGTATAGGTGTCACCATCGGCCCGCAAACTTTGGCCAAACAGCCGAAACCCTAAACCAAACGGAGGCCCAGATCGTTGGACACTCACAAGAACATCCTCACACCCTAAACCCTAAACCTAAACCCTAAACCCTAAAACCGAGTCTGTCTTGTCAGCCATCTGGCATCTAAGGGATGAGGGGGTGCCCCAGGTTCTCCACTCGACACCCAAACCCCAAAGCAAGACAACCTTAAGCCCCAGGGTTTAGGGTTTAGGGTTTAGGTTTAGGGTTTAGGGTTTAGGGTTTAGGGGTTAGGGGTTAGGGGTTAGGGGTTAGGGGTTAGGGGTTAGGGTTTAGGGTCCCTAATAACCCTAAACCGTAAACCCTAAGCCCCAGAACTCCAAACCCTGAAACCTCGAAGTCCCCCTGATTCATCAGTTCGTGGAACCCCGAACCCTGGATCCCAAAAGCCCATGAAGCGGCAGGCCGGGTGGAAGCCCCAAGCGCTGAACCCGTAGACCCCTAAACCCTAAACCCTCGCACCTAAATCCTAAACCCTGAATCCTAAACCCTAAACCCTAAACTCTGAAACCGAAATCCGAAACCCTAAACTCTAAAACCGAAATCCTAAACCCTAAACCTTTAAATCTAAATCCTAAACCCAAAACCCTATACCCTAACCGCATTCCTCCGCGCCGGCGTTGGAGGTAATGGCTTCGCTGCCCACCTCCGATGAGGATTCGTCGGGGAGAAGGCTAAGCCCTAAACCCTAAACCCTAAACCCTAAGCCCTAAACCTCAGGGGTTTCGAGGTTCAGGGGTTTTGTGCTTCGGAGTGTGGGGGGTTGCAACCGGACTTTGGGGGGTGATTTGGGTCTTTGCAAACTCACCACCACCAACAAACATGAACCTGTGCTGAGCCCTCAAAACAGGCCTTAACGCCCGTAACCTTGGCCTAAAACCCTAAACCCTAAACCCTAAACCCCAAACCCTAAACCCTAAACCCCAAACCCCAAACCCTAAACCCTAAACAAACTAGCTCGCGGACAGGCCGCGTTGGAGGTCATGACAATGACGCAGTTCTTGAAGTCCACGGTGCGGCCCTGGCAATAGGGTTTAGGGTTTAGGGTTTAGGGTTTAGGCTTTCGGGTTTAGGGCAACTTGCGCATGCCAGTCGAAACCCGGCAGCCACGAAAGTTGAATTCTACTAAAGGTTTAGGGTTTCGGGTTTAGGGTCTGGGGTCTGGGGTTTAGGGTTTAGGGTTTAGGGTTTAGGGTTTCGGGCTTCGAGCTTCGGGCTTAGGGCTTAGGGCTTAGGGTTTAGGAGCAATCCTCACGGTTCAGGGCTTACAGGGTTGATAAAGTCTGAAGATCTTAGGTTTTGGGAATGAACCATTTTAGAGGTTAGCACCTATGCTGCCATAAAAGGAAAGCCCAATAGCCCCAAAGCACACCAACCCCGATCTGCGTTCCACCCTAAACCAACCCTACAGACCTAAACCCAACACCGAAAACCAAAACATCCAAAAAAACGCTCAAAAACCTGAACGCCCTGTAAACGCCAAAAAACCCTTGCCCTAAACCCTAAACCCTAAATCCTAAACCCTAAACCCCCTGAACCCTAAGTAAGACCTTGGCAGGCCTGGGAGTCTGTGCAGCGCCCGTCATCCAAGATTTGCCTCGACTTGATTTGGGGGTGTAGGTCTTGAGGGCTTTAGGTTTAGGATTGTAGGGCTGGCTGTAGGTTTTACGGTTTAGAGTTGTAGGGTTGTAGGGTTGTAGCGTTGTAGGGTTGCAAGGGATGTGGCGTAGGTTCGGGGTTTAGGGTGTGCCCACCGTTCTTCTGTGAAAGGTGACCGAGTGTATTTGGGTGGCAGCGTTGTCTCCATACGATGGCATGATGCCAGTGTCCTATGCACCAGAAACTTGAAGAGCATGTCGCCAAAGCTGGCGCTCGCAGAAATTGGTTCTGTTGCTCAGATGAGCATGCGGAGGCACTCCATTGTGAAATTCTGCTGGGTTTTGGGGCTTCGGGCGCAGGCTTTCGGGTTTAGGGCCCTTGCTGGGGGGGGGGGGGGGGGGGACCCTATACTTCACCCAAAACCCCAAACCCCACACCCCAAACCCTAAACCTTAAACCCTATAAGCCCTAAGCCCTCTTCTCCCTGAACTCCGCAGCCGCGAGGCAGGAGGAGGTTGAAGACGTCGGGATGCGCTTTCTCCATCTCGTCGAAGAGGAGGACGCTGTAAGGGCGCCGCCTCGACAGCCAGTAGGGTTTAGGATTTAGGGTTTAGGGTTTAGGGTTTAGTTGTTAGGGTTTAGGGTTTAGGGTTTAGGGTTTAGAGTCTAGAGTCTAGGGTGTAGGGTCCAGGGTTTGGGTTTAGGGTTAGAGACTCTAGGATGCTTCAGGAGGAGGAGAGTGAGTATGGGTTACCATCGTAGGGGACGACATGAGGATTTTAGGGATTCCTCTGACTCCATATTCCATAATTTATTACAAATGGGATCCACTTGCTCCGCTCTCTATCCTAAGCTGTCATCTTCCGAACACATCTCAACATCAACTTTCACCCATCACGTACTGATCAATCAGCACTGTCATGTCATGCTAAACCCTAAACCTACACTTGAGCTGGCAGCAAAGTCCCTGTCCTCTACACTGTCCTCTAAACCTTCATCCGTCGACCGCACAACCCCAAACAGCTACATCCTAAACCCCTCAACCCCATACCCTCAACCCAAAACCCTAAACCCAACCCAAACCCCTAAACCCCAAACCATCAACCCCAAACCCTAAACCCCAAAACCCTTACACCCCTAAGCCCCACAACCCCAAACCCTAAAGCCCAAACCCTGAATCCCAAACCCTCAACCCGAAACCCTAAACCCCCCTTTAAACCCTCAAACCCTCAACTCCTGAACCCCTGCACCCGAAACCCTAAACCCTACACCCCTAAACCCCACAACCCCCCAACCCTGAAGCCCTCAAAGCCTTCGAAGCCCTGAAAGCGCAAAAACCTAAACCCCAAACCCCTAAACCCTCAAACCCTCAACCCCTGAACTCCTAAACCCTACACCCCTAAACCCCACAACCCCGAACCCTAAAGCCCTCAAAGCCCTCGAGCCCTCCTCAAACCCTCAACCCCCTAAACCCCTCAACCCTAAACCCGAAACCCTAAACCCGAAACCCTACTAGACCCCTCAACCCTAAACCCTCAAGCCTAAACCCTCCTAAACCCTAAACCCTAAACCCTAAACCCCTCAGCAGCCCTCAACGCCAAGAGCCCCGAACTCGGCTAAACCCTCCTAAACCCTAAACCCTAAACCCTAAACCCTAAACCCTGTGCCCAAGGCGTTCCCACCTCACGGGCTCGGTGAGTTGGCCTCCCTCCTGCGGGTTTAGGGTTTAGGGTTTAGGGCTTAGGGTTTAGGGTTTAGGGTTTAGGGTTTAGGGCTTAGGGCTTAGGGTTTAGGGTTTAGGGTTTAGGGTTTAGGGTTTGGGGTTTGGGGCTTGGGGTTGGGGTTTGGGGCTTGGGGTTTAGGGTTTGGGGTTTGGGGTTTGGGGTTTCGGGTTTAGGGTTTGGGGTTTGGGGTTTGGGGTTTGGGGTTTAGGGTTTGGGGTTTAGGGTTTGGGGTTTAGGGTTTAGGGTTTACGGTTTGGGGTTTAGGGTTTGGGGCTTGGGGTTTAGGGTTTGGGGCTTGGGGCTTGGGGTTTGGGGCTTGGGGTTTGGGGTTTGGGGTTAGGAGTTTAGGGCCTTTTTTCAGTTTAAGGTTTGGGGCTCAAGCTTTAGGGTTTAAAGCCTTTTTCAGTTTAGGGGTTCGGGTGTGGGGTTTCGGGCTTAGGGCTCAGGGTTTGGGAGCTTGGGGGGTTTAGGGCTTCAAGCGTTCTATAAGGTCACCACTTACAGCTGTTGGAATGTGGGCTTCGGAGCGGTGAGAAGTCGGACGGCTCGAGTTTAGGGCTTCGGGCATTCCGTGGGTTAAGGTTGTACTAGTTAGGGCCCCCAAAACGCACAAAAGCAAAAATTAGGACAGGGATATCCCTCTCTAATTCTCCTTAAAATGAAGCCCAATAAGGTAGAACATCCTTATAAAAAAGCTCATGCTTATGTCCTTTTTGGGACCCCTACGAGTAGCAGTTCCGAGGTTTAGTTTCAGGATGCAGGGTTTAGCTGTTGGGGCTCGTTGGGGGGGTTGTGGGTCTTCTGCGGCGAGCCAATCCCTTTCCGCTTGCAGCTCTGTTCAGTGCTATTCAGCTATTCCTCTCCTTCCAGATAATTAAGATGTGGCTGCACTGCTTGTGACAGCGCATCCACAAACATTGTGCCTCTTCTTGCATGCTTCGCGCTGAAAACCCTTCGATCCTTCTTGAGTGCCATCTGCACAAGCTCCGGGCTAAAACCTTCAAGCCTAAAAAGCCCAGTGCCACAATGCTCCCCGGAATGAGCTGAGTTCGCAACCACCCAGGAAAGCCTCCCTTCAGCCTCAAGCAAAGCGGCCCCGAGCTCTCAGAAAGCCCCCACTGCAATGCCAGCAGGCCCTCCTCGTAGCCCACGTAGCCGGGCGGGGCACCAGTCAGCCGCGACACGGCGAACTTCTCCATGTACTCGCTCATGTCGATGCGAATCATGGCATCCTGGCGCGTGGGGCGCGTGATGAAAGGATTAACGCCCATGTCGGAGAAAACCCATCCACAAGAATCACTGACAGGCAAACATCCGCTTGCCCAGAAAGCCCTTCGGAGTATTCGGGGTACTGCCACCAAAAAAAGCCTCTGAGGGCTAAGCCTTGAAATCTCTAAACCCCTGGGACAAGCAGCTGCTTTCCTACACTAAGGCTTCAAACCTGACACTTGAAGGTCGGAGCTTTCGACCCTAAACCCTAAACTCTAGACCCCAGGCCCAAAACCCCCTAAACCCTAAACCCAAAACCCCCTAAACCCTAAACCCTAAACCCTAAACCCTAAACCCAGGGTACCCGGGCCAGGTGTCCTCGGAGTCGAAGAGCCAGTTGGCAAGGGTCTTGGCAAGCTCCGTCTTTCCGACACCTGCTCGGAGCGACCAGGGATGTTTAGGGTTTAGGGTCTGGGGTTTGGGGTTTAGGGTTTGGCGTTTGGAGTTTCGAGTTTGGGGTTTAGGGTTTAGGGTTTAGGGTTTTAGGGTTGAGGGTTTGGGGTTTGGGGTTTGGGGTTTGGGGTTCGGGGTTCGGGGTTTGGGGTTTGGGGTTTGGGGGTTGGGGGCTTGACACCTGGTATATCCTTAGCCGTTCGATCTACGGCTCCTGCTTTGGGATGTAGGCTTCGGAGTTCAGAGGGTCCAAGTACCCTACGAACCGTTTCTGAGGGGTTGATCCAAATTATTGGCTCTTCGGAGGGTTTAAGTGTAGTGTTCTCCTTCTGTCCAAACCCGTGCGGTACCAAAGAAAACCCTGATTTCAGTTCGGGGCAGGGGTTGGGGGGTTTCAACATTAGCGGTCCCCGACGCAGTGGCCAAGGAATTGGCATTTAGGTCCTGGGATCTTAAACTCCCCGACTCGAAACGACCTTAGGGCCCGGAGTTGCTGAGGTTTGGGGTTTAGGGTTTAGGGTTTAGGGTTAAGGGTTAAGGGTTTAGAGTTCAGGGGTGGTCCAGGAACAAGAAGTCCTGAAGTGTCCAATGCCTTAAACCCTAAACCGTAAACCCTAAACCCTAAACCCTAAGTGAGCCTGTCGGCCCCAAGAACAGGAAGGACGCAATCGGACGATTCGGGTCACCTTGGTGGCGGCTGGGACACGGGAGATGCTCGGGAGGGCCAAGCAGGGTTTAGGGTTTAGGGTTTAGGGTTTAGGGTTTAGGGTTTAGGGTTTAGGGTTTAGGGTTTAAGGTTTAGGGTTTAGGGTTTAGGGTTTAGGGTTTAGGGTTTAGGGTTTAGGGTTTAGGGTTTAGGGTTTAGGGTTTAGGGTTCTTAAGGGAAGGCGTTCCCATGAACCCCCCGTCCCCTAAACCCTAAACCCTAAACAACAAACCCTAAACCCTAAACCCTAAACCCTAAACCCTATCATCGAACCGCAAACTCAGAATCTTCGCGTGAGGTGCTGAGGCCATACCGCGACCGTTGAACAGCTTCTGCCACCGCCTTGGCACATCGACACGCATTTCTGGCTGGTTCTTGCAGGGAATGAGGGAATCAGGGCCCCTGTATTATCCCTTAAAGGGCATATATAGGGCCCTCAGTTCCTCATTCCCTACGAAGAACCAGGGGAAATCTGGGCCATCACAAACCGTGCCCGTCAGTGCACACAGCTCGTTGAAATTTTGGGAAGCTACTACATAAACAATTTGAATCAGCTGATGGGCAAGGGACTTAACTGGCTACTGGGTTGTTGCAGGCTAAGAATGTAAAATAGTCAATTCATCACAACAAGGACATATCAACAAAAAAATTACGGTTTCCTTTTTTTTTGACTCAGCCCTCTACCCGAATAAGCCCGCCCGAATCCCTAAACCAACCTACAACCCTGAGCCCTGGAGTTCTTGAATCTCCCCCAAATACCCCGCCCAAACCACTGAACCCCCTAAACCCCCAAACCTCTGAACCCCGAAACGCCCCAAACGCCCTGAACCCTGAATCCCTCAGATCCCGCAAACCCCACCCCGCCCGAGCTCCTGGAAACTTGCTGAAGCTCCTCACAGCAAGCCCGCCTTCACGGCCGCGTCTTGTCCCACAACGCGCTCGTGCAGCTCATCTGAGGCGGGCTTTGGGTGTAGGATTTTTAGGGTTTTGGGTTGAGGGTTTAGGGTTTAGGCTTTACGGTTCAGGGATTTACCGCTTTAAGGTCGAGTGCTTTGTGAGACAAACAGTGCCAGGAGCCAGGGCAGGATTCCAGGCGCGAGGCAAAGGCCCAGAGGGTCGGTCTCCAGTTCTCCAAAAGAGGAGCTTAGGGCTTAGAATGTTTGGTTTATGGCTTGCGGTTATTGGCCACCTGTTGGAACAAAAGCCCCTTCACCTGCGGAGTACCAAAGAATCACTTTCGGGTCCAACCCCCCCCTCGCCCAGAAAAACATTGCAGAATCCCCCCTTTAAACGGAGCCCACCCGAACCAAAGGGAGCGCACTGACCACGCGCTAGCACCCTAAACCCGACAACCTAAACCCTAAACCCCAAACCCCAAACCCTAAACCCTAAACCCACAGAAAAACTCAAACACAGAAACGCTAAACGACCCCTAAGCAACACCAGGAGCCCCGGCCAACCAACCCCAAGCAACCCCACCCCCCTAAGCCCCCAACCCCAAACCCCTAAACCCCTAAACCTCCCTAGGCCACGAAACCTCTAACCCCAACCCCTAAACCCTAAACCCTAAACCCCTTAACCCTTCTTCCTAACCCAAGAACAAGCACCTTCCAGGCCCAGCAGTCGCTGCTGCACGCCCATGGACATCTTCTCCACTGGGATGCCTCTGCGAGTTTAAGGTTTAGGGTTTAAGGTTTAGGGTTTAGGGTTTAGGGTTTAGAGTTTAGGGTTTTGGGTTTAGAGTTTAGGGTTTAGGGTTTAGGGTTTAGGGGGTTTAGGTTTTGGAGTTTCGGGGGTTTCGGGGTTCAGGGGATTCAGGCTTCAGGGTTTAGGAGTTGAAGAGCCCAGGAGCCTGAACTGTTTGTTTGGGGGCTCTCATCCCTGCCGCCTTGAATTTAAAAAGTCGTCTGGGCTTAGAGTGTTGAGGGCTTTGGGGCCTAGGGGCTACAGAGCCCGGCCTGTCCGCATGGACACGATGTGCTGGATATCGCCTCGGGTTGGGTTGGGGATTGTTGGGTTGTAGGGAACCTTCTGCCATCCTCACAACCGTCTTTTTGACCAGGGTTCAGATCTATGATTCAGCGAGCCCTAAACCCTAAACCCTAAACCCTAAACCCTAAAACCTAAACCCTAAACCCTAAACCCTAAACCCTACCTGCCGGGCCGCTCTCTGTGACCTCCTCCAGGCCACCCTTCTCCGAGCTCGAGTCCATGGCCTGGCCAGGGGTTTAGGGTTTAGGGTTTAGGGTTTAGGGTTTAGGGCTGAGGGTTTAGGGTTTAGGGTTTAGGGTTTAGGGTTTAGGGTTTAGGGTTTAGGGTTTAGGGTTTAGGGTTTAGGGTTTAGGGTTTAGGGGGCTTCAACCCCAGAGTACCCTAAACTTCGCCCCTAAACTTCGCTCCCTGAACCCCTCAAGGCCTCCAGCTGCTTCTGGAGGGGGCCGAGCTGGCCGTACCTTAGGGTTTAGGGTTTAGGGTTTAGGGTTTAGGGTTTAGGGTTTAGGGTTTAGGGTTCAGGGTTCAGGGTTTAGGGTTTAGGGTTACTCCTTCTGTGTAGGGAATGAGAGGGAATGAGGCGATCCCATTGTTTATATACCGCCCTTAGGGTTGAGGGTTTAGGGTGTAGGGTTAGGATGTAGGGTTTAGGGTTTGGGGTTTAGGTGTTCGGGGAATGAGGGAATGAGGCTATCCCCCCTTAAGGGATTCAATAGGGTGCCTAATTCCCTTATTCCCTACTCAGGACCAGGAAGTTAGCCTCAAATGCCAGAAGCTCGAAATCCAGTTAATTAGTTGTACCTTGAGTTTAGGGTCCTTTGCAAGGCATGGAGCCGCAAAAAGGGAACCTAATTTAGAGAACTACCAGCTCAACTCTGCGGTCACAATTAGGGCAACTAGTAACTACTGCTTTGAGCGTTTAGATCCTTCTTTGGAGGGGGTACTTCTAAACCCTAAACCAATAGATGCTCGGGACTTCAAACTTCGGACATGCAGGCAACGGCTCCGTCATTAACGTCGAGATCTGCAAAGCAAAAGGGGGCCGAGGAAGACCCATGCAGGGTAAGTCACCTCACACCCATAAACTCTGAACAAGGGTTTAATTTGGGGTTTAGGGGTTAAGGGGTTTAGGGCCCTAAACCCGAAACCCTAAACCCTACACCCTACACCCTACACCCTAAACCCTAAACCCTAAACCCTAAATCCTAAACCCTAAGCCCAAGCCGCTTGATCTGCCCCGCACGTTCCAGGTCGTAGGTTCGCTCGGCCTCCGGCTGAGGGTCAGGGTTTAGGATGCACGGTTTAGGGTGGTAAGGGTTTAGGTTTGGGGTCTAGGATTTAGGGTTGAGGGGTCAGGGCTTAGGGTTTGGAGCTCAAGCTATTAGGGGACTTGCCGAGCTATTCAGGGAATCAGTCATCTGCGAAAACATCGCGGGGTTTGGGGTTTTGGGCTTCGGGGTCCCTGAACCCTAAAACCCTCAACCCTACACCCTAAACCTTAAACCCTAAACCCTAAACCCTAAACCCTAAACCCTAAACCCTAAACCCTAAACCCTAAACCCCAGACCGCCGCCTCTGCCAGATCCCTCTCCAGATCTTCAATCTTCTGCCTCTCAAGTCCAAAGCTTGGATTCACATGGGCCCTTTCTTAGCCTTTAAAAGGGACCTCCAAAGTACTGGCCCACACAATGTGCTACTTCTACTTCTAGTGGTTCAAGGGGCTATGGCCCAACGAGCCACTGTGTGGAAGGTGCTGAGCAGCAATTCTGCTAGCTCTGCGGGTCTAGGTGGTCCGGGTTGCTTAGCTCCTTTTGTTGAGCTTTTGAGGCCTTATGGCCCCATAAACCCCAAACCCTCAACCCGTAGACCCCAAGCAGCCCCAACCCTACACCCCCAACACCCAAACTCCAAACCCCAAGGGTCACCTCGCCTCACGTCCTGGACAGCCGTCAGCGCTTCGCGGTCCTCATCGGAGTTTGAGTTGTGTTTTGCAAGCGGGGCTTAAGGGGTTTTGAAGGGTTTTCAGGGAGGGTCAAGGGGCTGTAAGGGGCTTTAAGGGGTTCAGGGTTTAGAGGGGTTGAGGTTTAGGATTGAAGGTTTAGGTTTAGGGTTTAGGGCTCCTCCCAGCAACCTTGGAACAAAAGGGCACCCTGCCTTTGATGCGGTCAAAAAGGTTATCTGTAACCCCGAAGTGAACACGGACACCACCGAAAGTCCTGTCAGGGCAGGGCAGGATTTCAGGACTCGGGGTTCACAGCGTTCAGGAGGACCACTGACAACCACGATACCCTACTTCAACTTCCCTCAACCCCCGAACCCTTAAACCCCTAAAATCCTGAAACCCTAAATCCCTGAACCCGAAACCCTGAACCCTAAAACCCTCAAAACCCCAAAACCCGGACCCCCAACACCCTAAAAGCCCCAAACCCTAAGCCTTGATTCCGAAATCAATTTGGGTTTAGGGTTTAGGAGGGTTAGGTTTAGGGTTTAGGGTTTAGGGTTTAGGGTTTAGGGTTTAGGGTTTAGGGTTTAGGGTTTAGGGTTTAGGGTTTAGGGTTTAGGGTTTAGGGTTTAGGGTTTAGGGTTTAGGGTTTAGGGTTTAGGGTTTAGGGTTTAGGGTTTAGGGTTTAGGGTTTAAGGGTTAAGGGTTAAGGGTTAAGGGTTAAGGGTTAAGGGTTAAGGGTTAAGGGTTAAGGGTTTACGGTTTAGGGTTTTGGGGTTTAGGGTTTAGGGTTTAGGGTTTAGGGTTTAGGGTTTAGGCAACCCCGGCCTGGCGCCACTTCGATTCCTGCTCGCTTTGCTGGGCTTTCAGCGTCTCCAACTCCTCGAGAGGGTTGGGAGTTGATCTTCTTTTTGTGGGTTTAGGGCTTAGAGTTAAGGGTTAGGACTTTTTGGGTGCAGGGTTTGGGGTTTAGGGTGTAGGGTTTAGGGTTTAAGCCTGCAGCGACGCCGCTTTCTTCCCACAAAAGTCCCTTTTATGAAGCGCAGGTTCCCATAAGGAAGTAGCATTCATCTTCATTGTGGAGATACCGGTTTAGAGTCAACTGGCATTCGGGTTTCGGGGCCAACTCTTGTAAGGCGAGTTGAGTTTGGGGAGACAGACGGTAGCAACAGGAGTTCGTGAGATAAAAGGGCCGGAAGTGGGGCAGTGTAGAGTTGAGGAGCCTACACCCTAGAGCCCCCGAAAACCCTAGACCCTAGACCCTAAAACCCCAAAACCCCAAAACACCGAAAACCCGAAAACCCCCAAACCCCTACGCCCGTAAACCCCGAAACCCCTGAACCCCTAAACTCCCTAAACCCTAGACTCTAGACCTCTGATGCTCTTGATTTCTATCCTCCGTCCTCGCGCACTTATGTTTTCAAAAAATAAAGCAAATGGGGGTTTACGATATTAGGGGTACCGTAATATAAGGGGATCCTGCTACTTGGGGTCCCTCTGAAGGGTCCTAAATCCCAAACCCTAAACCCTAAACCCTAAAGCCCCATATACATACCATACTAGGGGCCCCGCCCTCTTTTCGTAAACCCACCAAAGTATTAACCCTAGACAATAACCCTAAACTCTAGCCCTAAAACCCTAAACCCTAAATCCTAAACCCCTAAACCCTAAATCCTACACCTCCAAACAGGTTAAGCGCGCTTTGGGGGTTGCCTTGTCCAGCTCGGAGAGTCGCTGCTGAGACTGGGCGTCCTTGTCATCTCCTGCTAGGGATTTAGGGTTTAGAGATTAGGGATCAGGGTTTAGGGTTTAGGGTTTGGGGGTTAGGGTTTAGGGTTTCGGGTTTGGGGTTTAGGGTCTAGAGTTGAGGGCTGAGGGTTGAGGGCTAGGGCCTAAGGTTTGGGGTTAAGGGTTCCAGCTTTAGGGTTTAGGGTTGAGGGTTGAGGGTTTAGAAGTTTAGGGTCTTTTTTGCCGTGCGCATGTGCTGCCAGCACGCATTGGCGCATCCCCAGACTCTCCCATTAGCTGAAGCACGTTCTTAAGTTTCAGGCTATCCACAAAACCCTGAACGTTAAGTGCTCCAAATCGAATCCTACCATCGTAGCCTAGCGGAGTTGCGGTCGGATGGTTTTTAGTCTTCCTCCTTTTGTTCCTGCGCACTTGTTCCTGCCAATACAGAGAGACTGAGTGAGTTGTGGTCAGAAGTGTCGGTTGAGGGCTTTGGGGAGCGGATTCTGTATGTCTGTTGGCTAGTAGAACCTCTCTGGTTTTAGTTGTAGTTTCTAAGCCGGGGGGGGGGGCTCAAGGGAACTGAAAGGAAGATATTCTTATGTCCTCGAGACCGTCGGTTCATCACCGCATGCACCACGGCTGAAGCCAGCCGCGTGTCCAACGCCTGCTCCTCTTCATCCTCAACTTCCTCCATGGCCCCCAGGCGGGTCAGCTTCTTGAGGAGCCGGAAGTTCCGCAGCCATCGGCTGGTTGGCGTTGGCTGCTGCTCTTGGGCACGCGTGGAGCTTAGGGTTTTTTTTTTTGAAATGCAATGACTCCCTAGGGTTTAGGGTTTAGGGTTTAGGGTTTAGGGTTTAGGGTTCAGGGTTTAGGGTTTAGGGTTTAGGGTTGAGTGCTTGTCGGAGGTTGAGGGCCTAGGGCCCTTAAGGCCTTGGGGGTCTTCAACTGGCGTCAACCCTAAACCCCACCCTAACACCCTCACACCCTAAGTCCTAAACCCTAAAAACCCTAAAATACTACACCCTAACACTCTAAAAACCCTAAAATCCTACACCCTAAAACTCTAAAAGCCCTAAAATCCTACACCCTAAAACCCTATAAAATCCTCCACCCTAGAACCCTAAAATCCTACACCCTAAAACCGTAAAAGCCTACTCCCCTAAACCCTAAAACCTTGAAAAGGCCCGAAGCCTCAAGGGATCCAAGCCCCCTAAGCTTGTACCCCTCAAGGCTCCTTTGCCATATCCCGCACTTTGGCTCCCCTATGTGCCGTAAGGCGGCAAACCCCAAACCCGGCAGAGTGTTAAAACCCTAAACCCTGAACCCCTGAAGCCCTAAACCCTAAACCCTAAACCTACACCCCCCTAAACCCCTAAACCCTAAACCCCTAAAATCCCCAAACCCTAAACCCCTAAACCCCAAAAATACCCCGAGGCCCCTGGAGTCCCTAACACCCCGGTCCTACGCTCACTTTCTCCATCTCCAGCTGCAGAATGCGGCGGTCCAGGCGCTCGAGCTCCTTCCGCAAGAGCAGGGGAAGAGTGCGATCTACGAGGAGATTCCAGTTCTAAGGCTCCTCTTGTGAGTTTAGGGTTTAGGGTTTAGGGTTTAGGGTTTAGGGTTTAGGGTTTAGGGTTTAGGGTTTAGGGTTTAGGGTTTAGGGTTTAGGGTTTAGGGCTTCGGGTTCAGGGATGGGGGGTGGAGAGCACCCGAATCGAAAGACTGCAAAAAACACGCGATCATAGAGGCCCCAGGGATGCTGTCAGGTCACTTGGAGCTGGGGCCCCAAAGGGTTTTGGGGTTTAGGGTTTAGGGTTTAGGGTTTAGGGTTCAGGGTTTAGGGTTTAGGGTTTAGGGTTTAGGGTTTAGGGTTTAGGGACTCCTCAGCTTGTATTTGATTTGTGTTCCTTAGTTCGGGAATACTCCTTGACTTGCAATAGGGCTCCGAATTTGAGGTTGAAGAATATATCTTGGTTCATGGGGTATGGTCAGAGGGCTCCACATTGTGGGGAGGCTTGGGACTGGAGAGGGTGTAGGGCTTGGGGAACTCCCACAGAACCCAAGTAAACCCTGAACTTACAATGAAATCCTACAAACCCAGTGAAACTCTAAACCCCGAATCCAAGACCCCAAGCCCTACACCCCAATTCCTAACCCTAAACCCTCAACCCTAAACCACCCTTTCAACCCTAAACCCTATGCACCCTGAACCCTATAAACCCTAAACCCTAAACACTATACAAATCCACTAAATCCCCCCTGGAGAGCGAGGACTCCTGCGGCTTGGAGGTGACCCGCATTTTGGCCACAGCCGCAGCCTCGTCTACGAGATCGATGGCCTGAGGGAGTTTAGGGTTTAGGGTTTAGGGTTTAGGGTTTAGGGTTTAGGGTTTAGGGTTTAGGGTTTAGGGTGTAGGGTGTAGGGTTTAGGGTTTAGGGTTTAGGGTTTAAGGTTTAGGGTTTGAGGCTTGGGGTTGGGGGTTTAGAGGGTTTAGGGTCTAGGGTTTGAGGAATAGGGTTTCGGGTTAGGGTTCAGTGTGCTTCCGGGGGCTTATCGGGGTGCAGGCGTCAAGTACCTTCCAAGTCAACTAAAGGGTTTGGGCTTAGGGTTCAGGGTTCTGCGTTTAGGGTTCAGGGTTTCATCAGGGCTCAAGGCTTCAGATCCGAAATGGAGGTACAACAGGCACTGTTTTTGTAAGGGTTAGAGGAGATAACCCAGCGTAGCTGCAGTGTAGGGGTTTTAGGGTTCAGGCTTTCTGTTGAGGATTAACTCTAGTTACGGACAAACTACTTACATCCCTCATTGGGACGACCAGTGAACCTCCAAGTGCCTAAACCCTAAACCCCAAACCCTACATCCTAAACCCTAAGACCCTAAACCATGCACCCTGAACCATAAACCCTAAATTCTCAACCCCGAGCCTTATCCGGAAGAAAGCGGTCGGTGATGTAGCGGGAGCCTTGGTGTCTTGAGAGTTTGAGGATTTTAGGGTTCAAGAGTTTAGGGCTCAGGGTTTGAGGGGTTTAGGGTTTGGGGGGTTTCGGGTTTCGGGTTTAGGGTTTAAGGTTTAGGGTTTAGGGTTTAGGGTTTAGGGTTTAAGGTTTAGGGTTTAGGGTTTAGGGGTTGCTGGATGTGGGGCCTACACTTTGGTGCCTTCCGTCTGACGTTTGAGCTTTCCCACTGCAGAAGGCGAAGCCAACCCCTAAACCCTAAACCCTAGACCCTAAACCCTAAACCCTAAACCCTAAACCCTAAACCAAGCATGAGGCCAAGGGTCTTGGGTTTCGGGTTGAGGGTTTGGCATGCCTGCCCCGGCCCTCGCCCACTCGTTGCAGGAGCGGGTGCTTACGTATCACCAGGGACCAGGAGCTTCTCAATCCGACTCATCAAAGAAGCCTTTACAAAAAGCAAAGTCCAGGGTTTAGGGTTTAGGGTTTAGGGTTTAGGGTTTAGGGTTTAGGGTTTAGGGTTTAGGGTTTAGATTGAGCTGAAGGCTTGAACCCCTAAAGCCCCAAACCAGAGACCAAAGAGGCTCAGGGTTGAGGACTCAGGGGCGCAAACCGTTCGAAGCCCCAAACTCCTACACCTAAAATTCGCCAAAGCCCTCAACCCTCAACCGCCTGAACCCCGAAACCCTAACCCCAAGCCCTCAACCTCCTACATCCTCAACCTCAAGGCTTCAGGCCGCCCCTTGACCTTTCTGCCTTCTGGCCCCCCACCCCCGCTTGAAACATCCGGAAGAAGTATTCTGGGAGCAGGGAGCTGACGTGAGTTTAGGCTTAAACCCTGAAAGGAACAAGTTGTTTTGCCCGCCTGAGACGGCGTGGGGTGGGGGGAAGCTGTGTTCTGTCCCTCCACAATCGGGCCATGGCTGCTCGTCACGAAGCTTTCGAGCCTAGTTTGCAGCCCAACGTTCACAGAAACTGCGCCACATTACAGCCAACCCGAAACCCTAAACCCTAAACCCTAAACCCTAAACCTTAAACAGCCCTCAACCCCCATGTTTTTCAAGGCCGCTGAGGATGGCCGAAGCCACCACCGCGCGGTCGGAGATGTGGACCCCGTGGTGCAGCTCCTCGGTAAGGAACCACAAGGGTTTAGGGGGGTTTAGGGGGGTTTAGGGTTTAGGGTTTAGGGTTTAGGGTTTTGGGTTTAGGGTTTAGGGTTTAGGGTTTAGCGTTTAGGGTTTAGGGTTTAGGGTTTGGGGTTTAGGGTTTTGGGTTTCGGGCTTAGGGCTTAGGGGGTTTAGGGGGTTTACGGGATTTAGGGGGTTTACGGGGTTTAGGGGGCTTAGGGGGTTTAGGGGGTTCAGGGGGTTTAGGGGGTTTAGGGGGTTTAGCGGGACTAGCGGGTTTAGGGGGTTTAGGGGGTTTACGCGTGTTTACGGGGTTTAGGGGATTAGGGGGGTTTGGGGGGTTTAGGGGGTTTAGGGGGTTTAGGGGGTTTGGGGGTTAGAGTTTAGGGGGTTTAGGGTTTCGGGTTTCGGGTCTTCGGGTCTATGGGGCTCATGGGGCTCATGGGGCTTTCAGGGTTTGGGGTTTACAGAGGGTTCAGACTTTAGGGGGTCAGGAACCATACTACCATGAGGATTTCTGGGTTCAGAGTTTAGGGTTAGAGTTTCGGGTCTATAGGGCTGATAAACTTATAGGATTTCTAGGATCGAGGGTTTAGGGTCTACAAGGTTTCGGGGTGTAGGAGTTAGGTGCGTCACCCAAACCCTTAACCCGAAACCCGAAACCCTAAACCTTAAACCTTAAACCCTAAACCCTAAAACCCAACAAGGGCAAAAGCAAGGGCGCCGCCGCGCTGACAAGGCGCGTAGCGCGGCTTGAGGCCGCGGAGGATGCCTGGGATTCGTGATTCTCTGGGGGTTCGACCTTGGACCCTTAAGGTTGTAAACCCTAAACCCTAAACCCTAAACCCTAAACCCTAAACCCTAAACCCCTGGGTTTCGGGATCCTGGCTTCGGTCATGGGGCTGCAGGGTTGAAGGTTCCAAAAAGCCAGAAATCCTCCCTGAACCAATAACCCTAAACCCTAAACCCTAGCCCTAAACCCTAAACCCTAAACCCGAGGAGAACCCCCAAAATGCAGCCGAAGCGGGCTGATGGTGTCCATCGGGCTCGGCTCTTGCACCAGCACCTGCTGAAAGCGCCGCTCCAACGCAGCGTCCTGGTCTCTTGTGGTTTTTGGGTTTAGAGGTTTAGGGTTTAGGGTTTCGGGCTTAGGGTTTCGGGCTTAGGGTTTTTTTATGGCAGCCATGCGCATGCAAGAGCTTTGGCGTGTCTTTTGAACAAGTGGGGGCAGCGCGTCGGCGCAGATTCCAGGAAAGACAGGAAGAGGGGGTCCCTATTAAGGAGGTGTTTGAGGCCTAAGAAGTCTTGCCTTTGCTCCTCCGTGTTTATGCGGTTTAGCCTTATGTATTCTTTAAGCACCGGTAATGCATACTCGGTATTGAGTTCCAGCCAATATCGTTGGGGATGTCCTCTGTGTGAAGACTTCGTGAATTTGATCCTATCTTTACAACCCGGAGAGTATACTACATGATGCACCGGATTGTTGGGCGGTGTTTGCCAATTGCTTTAACTGGGCAGAGGTCAAAATTTGGGATGGTAGCGTGGGGCGGCCCGCTAGCGTCCATACCCTTCGATTCGAGATGTGAGAATAATATGAGTCCTTGACTCCTAGTGCTCTCCGAAGATATTTGTGGTACCATGCATCTATGGTCTTTAGGTGCTTAATTTCCAGGGTAAGCGTATCCAATCCGTACAGTAATGTAGGCAAGACTATGGCATGGAAGATTCTAGTTTTAGTTCTAGAATTGATGCGTGACCTCCAGAAATGTTGGAGTTTGATGTAGGAAATGTGCGCCTTGGCTTTACGAGCTTCTATGGCATGCTTAGTGGCCTTGTCCCATGTAACCTGAGAGCCTAAATATTTAGTGTCAGTGGTTATGGGAACCGGGGAGCCATCGGCAAAGTATAGGACCTGGGGGGCGTCGGCGTTGTACTCCAGAGAGACTGTTTTTTCTTTGTTCAGAAGCATCCCGTATAGGGTGGCTTCTACCTCTATTGCTTTAAGTATGTCGTTCATTTGTGGCTTTGTAACCGAAATGAGAAGCGTGTCATCAGCGTATTCTAGATCGTATACTGGTTTGCCTACCGACCAGGAGTTAGTGGGGGTGCCATGTATACGGAGCCTGCGGTCTACATCAGAGAAAAGCACTGTCATAACCATGATAAATAAATACGGGCTTAGGGGGCATCCTTGCCGAATACCGGTGTGCGGTGTAGCCTTGGCGGTGTCCCCGAAGGGTCCTCGCGTATAGAATGTCTGGTTGGTGTAAAGATCTCTAATAATGTCGACATATTGGCGGTGTACTCCAAGGCGCTCCAGTGCTATGATCATAGAATCATGATCAACTTTGTCGAACGCCATTCTCCAATCAAGGAATAGCAGCTGAAAGGGAGAGCCTGTTTTCAGCGCTAGGTCTTGCAATCTGCGTAGGACGAACAGTGGTTGTTGCGTGGATCTATTAGCCCTAAAACCAAATTGCGTGCTCCGAAGCTGATGATCGTGCGCTTTAGCCAATCTTTTTTGAAGTAATGCCGCGTAGATCTTATAGAATGTATTTAGCAAGGAAATTGGCCTATAATTAGCAGGGTCAGAATCCGAACCTTTGCCTTTATAAATACTAACGATAAGAGCCTCTTTCCACTCTTGGGGAACTGTTGCGCTACTGAAACATTCGTTGAACATTTCCAATAACTGTTGTTCCCCGATGTAGTCCAGAAGTAGCACCAGCTCATTGTGAATGTTATCTGGACCAGGCGCTTTAGCCTTTCGTAATTGCTTGATAACGTCGGAAAGTTCTATCAGGGTGAAGGGTGGGGGCGGTGTAGCCGAGGGCGCGTATAAAGAGGGCGACTCCCGTAATAGTTCTCTTTCTTCTGCCGTGACCGTGGTGGGACCCCATTGTACATTGGCGAGGTGGTCTGCAAACGCCTCGTGCTGTTTATCCCAAGGTACCGGCCGACCATCCTTGTTTAGCCTGGATTTTCGTTCTCTAAATCCCGTTTTCATTTTACGGAGGTTCCGCCAAAGCGCTTGCGACCCCTGATTATGGGATTGCAGGACCTGATCCCTGAGCCATTGGCGTTTTACTTTGCGGGGTTGCGTTTTGAGCCTTTTGTATTCCTGAGTGGCCTGAGGGTCTCCATGTAATCTGCGCTGTTTTACTGCTTCGATGTCCGCTGCGAGTGTTGGAGTAATCCAGCACGTCCTGGGTTTGACCGGCAGTTTAGCGAATGTATTCTCTGCCGCCGTCAATAGGGCCTGTGAGATGCGGTCCGGCGCGTTTTTGATGATGGGGAGGGGGGCTTGTGCGTCTGCCAAAGGGAGGTTAGTAGGGGTGAGGTAGAAGTGTTGTTCAGAACGGCCACCTATCCGTACACCATCTCGTTTTGCTTGTCCTGCAAGTGCATCCGCCATGTCATTATATTCTTGTCCTGAGTGGCCTTTAACCCAGGTCCATTTGATTGTTGTTCTGGCCTTTAGTAGGGAATAAATGCGCTTGGCGGAGTAGACCATGGCTTTGTGCCTAGTCGGGCGAAATGCTCCTGTAACCATGCCTTCCACCCACTTACTGTCGAAGCAGAATGTAACGGTGGGAGGGATAGGGTCCATCGACAGTAAATACAACGCTGCTTCCATCCATGCGGACAATTCTCCGGTATTGTTACTACCTACCACCGCTCCTAGTGAAAAAGGCGAGGTACCCGTAATTACTGGTCCCCTGGCTTTGTGCGTGGGGACTCCATTTATTACCGTAACGAAACCCCAACCTGCTGGCGTTGTACTGGTGCATTTACCTCTCGAGCCTGAACCATCGGTATAAACTTCTACTGGAGGCGAAGGTTTTGGCGGTGTAGCCTCGGTATCCTCTAGATATAGTGCGTTCCTAAATTCTTTGTTGAACTTCTCGCGCTGTTGTCTGGTGGCGTTGTACTCCAGGGGGGGGGTCTGGGTTGCCTCTGCCTACGTGCCCCTAGCCGGACGCTGAGCTCTGTAAGAAGTAGGTAATGATCGCTTGGAAAACCTGTATTATGTACAGCTTTTACTGTTCGGATCGTGGGGAGCCATTTCCTAGGGGTAATCAGTCTGTCCAAGCTTTGAAAGCGAACAGGGTCTATGTGCGGTGTAGCCAGTTTATTGGGAGGGAGGGTATCTAAACCCAGGAACGCTCGAATCTCCGAAACCAGCGAAAGCTGATCCGACTCTGGCAAGGGGAGCGTGGCAAAACGATCCCACATTTGTAGAAGAATTAGGGGGTCGAGAATGAACTGGTCCCAGTTGTCCGGAGGTGAGAATTTATCCCTGTAGGTGACATGCTTGGTCAGGTTGGACTGTTTAAAGGAGAAAACGTCTGCAAATCCGAGGGATTTTAACAAAGAAGTGTAGAATGTGCGGTTGGAGTGCGTTTTAGTGTTGGCAGCGAGTTTGCCCTTACCGTAGATATGAGGCCCCAGAAAATCCTGCTCAGCAGAAAACCTACCTTGTAACCTGACGTTGTAGTCTCCTACCACGTAAACCGGCTCAGGTTGTGGAATTGTTTTTAGGATGTCTTCCAGCATGTTCCAGAATGGGGTCTTACGCTCCTCTTCCTGCGATTTGTCGTGTGGGGCATATACCCCAATAATATGAATGGAGCCTGATTTGGATGAGATGATAATTTGTAAGATACGAGAAGTGTGTTGAATGATGTTGCAAATATGAGGAACCATTTTTGGCGATATAACCGCTGTGACCCCTGACCATTTATCCTTGTTGTTACCATTAACCACAAAAAGGTAGCCCTGACTTTGAAATGAGTAGTAGGACTTAGAGTGGGTTTCCGTTAACATCAAAACATCGAAGTGCTGTATATACATAAAAGCGAGGACCTCTTGATGCTTAAAGAGTTCAGCCATTCCCTGAACATTTTGTGTGCCTATTCGAAGAGAAGAACCATAAGCTATGGGCGGTGTAGCCATTAGCTTTGTGGTCTTTCCCTTCCTAACTCCAATTGCCGATTGTCGAAGAACGAGCCTACGAAAATTTCCGGCATTGGTTGTCTTCCTGTCTTTCCCATGATCTGCTTTCAAGGGAACCCTTCCCTTTACCAGGTTGTTTCCCGTGTTCCCTGGCAATATGTTAGCCCTAAAGGACCCCCGCCACTGACGATAATATCGTCTACGTAGACAGCGAGCCCCGGGTCCCCGACCTAAAAGAGCTTTGGCGGGAAGGGGTGGGGACAAACACTCTTCGTTAACCACCGGAGTGGCACCCGGCAAGCCTCGTTGAGGCGGTGTAGGCTTACTAGCAAGAATGAAAGTATTCTCATTCATTGAATTCCCAGTGCCCTTGGAAACTTTCTGCCCGACCCCTTCAGGGTAAGGCTGGGTGTGGGTAGGGTGGAGGGTAGGGGAACCAAGCGGGTGACAGCCCGTCTTGTTTTGAACAAAACGGCGTTTTGGCTTTGTAACCTTTTTGGAGAAGGAAATCTTGAGTCCCTCTTGATTTCTGAAACAGGTCCTTTGCCCTGTTCGTGGCGGTGTAGCTCGGGGGTTTAGGGTAGGGAGCTCCTCTGGGATAGGGGATTTGGGCTGCCGATGTGCTAAAAGAAACGCTCTTGAAAGTTTCAGCCCAGGTAGGGGAGTGGGGTTGGGAGGTATGAGATCATTGAGGGAGATCTCTACTCTAGTTGCGGTGTTACCATTGAGGGTATGCATCAGACGGTTAAGTGTTCTTTGGAGTACGCGCGGTGTAGCCTGTGCTATGTTCTCTGTTCTTTTTGTTCTGCAAGATCTTGCGGAGCGGCAGATCATTGTTGCGGAGCGTGCCATGGTGGAAAAGGCCCCGAAAACGGCCAGGGCATCCAGGACTACAATTAAGGGGTTATGGCGGTGTGGACAGGTATAGTAGAAAACTGTAAATGCTGCTATTAGATGCCAAAGGAGTGCCCTAGATAGGTGGGGACAGGCGGGTTGTTTGTGACGCTTCTTACCCCTAAACTGTGATCTACGAAGAGGACTCCTATCCCAACCAATGCATCTACTGGTGAGGTGGGGTTCCTGGAATCTGCTGGGCGTTTTACCCAGGAAGGAAAAGGCGCTACCTCCCTGTCTCTTAAAGGCAGCCGTGCTCAACCCGTACCCGCGGCGCAGTCTGTGTTGAGAAAATTCAAAGGTGGGCAGACGCAGCCTTAAATGTGGGATTAGGGCGGTGTAGTCCGGGGAGCACTGGACTGCAAAATTTAAACATGCAAAAGGCGCTGAGGCCATACCCGCAATGCTGTATCGACCCCGTCACTTGCCTCTACCCTTGCCGGGGCCTGGCTCAGAGGGCGCGGGTCCTTGCGGAAGATTGGCTCCCGCCGCTGGCGGTGTAACCACGGGAGCCCCCTCAAAAGTTCCGGCCTGGTAGTTCCCCACCTTATGCTGTGGGGCAGCTACCTTATCGCAATATTCATCCCAACAATAGCTGACAGCATCAACTTTGCTGATGGTCATGGGGATCGGGAAGGGATTCATGGCCGAATTATAGATAAACGGCGCGCTCCAGTGGCGCTGCGATTTACCCAGGGAAATACCCTTCGAGGAACCTTTGGCTCCGAGGGCTGCCTGGGTGAAAACTTGCTTCTCGGCGAAGTCCAACTCGTGCTGAACTCCAAAGGTCAGCTGGTTCCAGCAG